CTGCCGCTGCTGCTGCTGCAGCAACGCCGCTAGTTAGAAGCGCAGCTGCGGACAAAGACACACCCCATGGGGCTGCACAAGCTCTACGCACGCCACAACTGCGCGCAAAGCAGCAGCCGCAGCAGCAGCAGCAGCAGCAACAGCAGCAGCAGCAGCAGCAAGCGGCGTACAGGCGACAGTGGGGCCCTCATCAGGCCTGCGAGCTGCTTGGGCCTCGAAGGCCTCCGCCAAAGTCCTGAAGTCCGCAGGCCCTGCTGCCTCCACTGGCAGCAGTTCTCTGGGGTCTTCTGTGTCTAGAGAGGCGGCGTCGTGGACCCACACAAGAAACCGCATGAGGCTCCCGCTGCTGTTGATGCTGCTGCTGCTGCTGTTGCTGCTGAAGTCCGTGTCCGAATACACGGAGTCTGCGTCCCCGTCTGTGACAGGTGTCCCGGCTCCGCTGGCTTCCTCCGCTGCTGCTGCTGCTGCGCGTCTTGCTGCTGCTTTTCCGGGTTTTGCTGCTGCTGCTGCTGCAGAGGCAGCAGCAGCAGCGCGGCGGGAGACCCCTCGAGTCCAGTCTTCAAAGAGCTGGTGAGCTGCCTGAAGGCCTTTTAGCCGGGGCGCGCGCTGTACGTACACCTGAGACCCCACAAAGTGCCTAGAGAAGAACGCTGAGGCATAGGGGGCCACCCAGGCCTCCTCGGCTTCGAAGCAGCTGCTGCAGCTGCTGCAGCTGCCGCTGCTGCTGCTGCTGCAGCTGCTGCAGCTGCTGCTCCTCACGCGGTACTCCCTGGGGAAAGCACTCTTCAGCGCATCACTCGTTGTGAAGAAAGAAGGGCAAGGGGCCCAGCGCACCTGTGGAAACGCCCAGGCGCATGCAAGCAGCAGCAGCACAGCTAGCTGCCGGCTGGCTAGCTGCGCAATGGCTAGCTACAGCTGCTGCTGGCAGCTTTCCAGCAGCAGCACTTGTTGCGCAGCCTCTTCGCAGGAGCTCCGGTGGCAAGCCAGCCAGGCAGCTAGCTATCTAGCTGCCAAAGCAAGCCCGCGAGGCCTGCCCGCCCCGCCTAGCCCGCCGTAGCTAGCTAGCTAGCCAGCCAGCTAGCCATCTAACCAGCTAGCCATCTAACCAGCTAGCCACCTAACCAGCTAGCTATCTAACCAACTAGCCAGCCAGTTGGCCAGCCACCTATCCAACGAGCTATCCAGCCAGCTAGCCAACCCTCTACCCAGCCAGCTGCCCAGCCACCCAGCCAGCCAGCTAGCCAGCCAGCCAGCCAACTAGCCAGCCAGCTAGCCAGCCAGCTAGCCAGCGAGCTAGCTAGCTAGCTGGGCCTCACGAGGTCGTGGTCGAGCCCGAGAAGGCGCAGCCAAAGGCGCTGGGGGGTCTCCTCAACAACTGCTGTTTGAATCGGCGCCGAGCGACTGGTGGCCCCGAAGAGCTGCAAAAAGTCTCCGAAGCTGTTCGCCCAGAAGCCCAGCAGCTGCATGTGGTTTTGCCGCAGCGAGAGCTCAGCTGTCTGTACACCCCGCCGCAGCAGCAGCAGCAGCCCCACGCCCGCACGCTTGCGCAAACCCCAAACCCTAAACCCTAAACCCTAGACCCTGGGCGAAGTCCAGCGGCGCACACTGTGCTGTAGAAGCGGCAAAAGGGCTTCGGAGAAGCTGCTGCAACGGCAACCGCCGACGGCGAAGCAGCCAGCAGCAGCAGCAGCAGCAGCAGCATTAGCAGCAGCAGCAAAGGCATACTTGGAGGTTGGCCTGGACCTCCGACTCCATGGCGAGCGAAGCCTTGAGGGCCTCGGCGTAAGCTGCTGCTTGTCCCGCTGCAGCAGGAAGCTGGGGAGTCTCTCCCCCCAGCAGCCGCAAAGTGCTGCGCTTCATTGCTGCATGCATAGCAACAACAGCCCCCCGCAGCAGCCCCACGCCTCCCGAGGCGCGCTGCTCTTGCTGCTCCTGCTGCTGCTGGTCCTGCGCCTGCGCCCGCTTCGCTGCAGCAGCAGCAGCACCCGCAGCAGCAGCTTCCTCCCCGGCCTCCCGGCTGTTGCTGTCCCCAGTAGCAGCAGCAGCAGGAATGTACCGTCCTGACACACCGAGACCCTCAACCGCACGCCACCGCCGACACCCAGACGGGCCAGCACCTGCTGTTGCTGCTGCTGCTGCTGCTGCAGCTGGAGTTGCTGCTGCTGCTCCTCTCCCTGTCGAGCTGCAGCCCACTGGCATAGCCAGGCCTCTATCAGGTGCGAAGACGTTCGAAGCAGCAGCGCATGCTGCGAGAGCAGCAGCAGCGGCGTCAGTCTCTTCCGCAGCAGCTGCTGCGGTTGCTGTTGCTGCTGCTGCTGCTGCTGCTGCCCGCGCAGTGCTCATGCCGGTCCCTGAAAAGGTCACGGACTGTATGGCAGTCTCCAGCACAGCTCCTGCTGCTTCGGGGTGCAGGTCAAGCCACCGAATCAGCAGCAAACGCTGCTCCTGCAGCAGCTGATAAATCTCTGCATCCGATATTCCCAGGGTCTCTCCAGCAGCAGCAGCTGCTGCTGCAGTGTCCCCTGCGGACGCTGCAGCAGCAGAGTCGCCTCCCGTTCCGCTGCGGGTCCCCGGGGTGGCTGCGTTGCTGCTGCTGCTGCTGCTGCGGGCGAGCCCCTGCTGCTGCTGCAGCAGCTGCAGAGAAAGGGCGCTGCCGGCGCTCTCGCCCGCAAAGGAATGGTGAGCAAAAAGAAAAAAAAGAGAAGACACAATTGCTGTTACGCTTTGGGGGCTCAGCTCCTCCCACAGAGAATCCTTGAGCAGCAGCAGCAAATGTGCATGCATGCGGCATGCAGCAGCAAGATCGCAGCAGTCTAGGGCCCGCTGCACCCACCGCTTCAGCAGCGGCTCCACTTCCTTAGACACCCGGGAGCTCAGCCGCCCCAAATAGCCCTGCAGCACTTCTGCTGTTTCCGCGCTGCACTCGAGGCCCCGAACTGCTGCAGCAAACCCGCAGCCAGATACTCTGCTGCCGCTGCTGCACTTGCTGCTGCTGCTGCTGCTGCGACCACTGGTTCCCCCTTGACTTGTTGCCGGCGAGGCGCCGGCAGGCGCCGCAGCAGAGCGGGGGCGCTGCTGCTGCTGGCCATAATGCTGCTGCTGTTGCTGCTGCGGCTTGCGCGGCGGCGGCACCGGGAGCGGCTGCCATCCTTCCCGCCA